GGCGGGGCGGCGGGGCACTCGGTGCATAGCAGCACGTCCGCCCAGGCGCGGAGAGCTTCGACAGACAGACCGCGCCCTCGGAGCCGCGCCGCGCCGGGCCACGCCGGGCCGCGCCATCCTAGTCCATCACTGGCGCGAAAGAAGAAGGAGGAGGAAAAGAAAAGTTGCACTTGGCAAATAAGCAGCGAACGCGGCTAACAACCCGACTTTATTGCCGACGCCGCCGCTGGCCGGTGCCGAAGAGCGAGGAGGGAAAAGCGGGGGGAATCGCACTCGCAGCAAGAAAAAGCATTATCAGCATCAATTATTTTTCTTTCCCCTAGACGAAAAAGTCGGACAGGACCGTTTTCCGGCCGTCTGCTTCGAATAGGTTTGGGTCGTGACGGCGACGGACGGGGGGCGCGGGGTTGCGTCGAGCAACCTGCAAGTTGGTGCGATCGACAGAGTCGTGCGAGGACTACTTCGGCGGTCGGAGCCGGAGGCGAGGGTGGTGTGTGTCGAGACCCGGCAGTGAGACCGCGGGCGATCCATCTGCGAGCAGACGTCGCACACACGCGGGCGCGTCGAAACAGCGGGCGGCGGCCGGGCGGGAGGCGGCATGATCTACGGAGCGAGCGGGAGCGTCGCGGCGCCTCGGAGCAGCGACGCCACTGCCACTGATAAGAAGCCCCCGGACGCCGCCCGGACCCGCGCACACGGCAATCAGCTGATCATCTCTCTCTGCGTCTGTCTCTCCCTAACTCTGTCCCTCTCTCCCGCCCGCTCGCCCCGAGGGCCCACAGGCCGCCTCATCAGTGTCTCCGCTGGAGATTTAGTTCCACTCCAGCGCCTAGGACTGCCCGCCGAGGCCCGCCACCGCCCGCCTGCAGGCCCGAGCAGCCCGAGGCACGTCCTTCCTTACCCGGGTGTTGGATGTTGTTATTCGCTATGCGTCCTCCTCCCCCTTGCCGCTATGCCGCCGCCGCCACAGACGAGTCCAGACGAGCCGAGCCAACGAGAGAGAGAAAAATTTCTGAAAGCCTCGTCTGTTGTTGCCGCTGCTGCTGATGCTGCTCTAGCCGGCTCCAGCCGCCCGCTCCAGCCTCCCGCGGCCGCTGCTTGAGTTGCGAGGCTGTCGCGCTGCAGATTGCGTGGAGAGAAGCCCGCGTGGGGGAGGACGCCAGGACGCCAGGACGAGGCAGCCCGAAGACACAGATGAATGCCGCCTGCAGCCCAGGCCGCCAGCCTCCGGCAGGCAGGGTCGCCTGGACCCGCAGCCAGTCCCCCTGTAATCGCTCCTGCGGCTCGTACAGAGGCGCGGCCTCGATTCGACGGCTTTTCCAAGTAAAACACATGTAATCCACAGTGTGTTCGACGGCTGGGACGCGCAACAGCGGGGGGCGGTGTGCGCGAAAGAGGGCGGTGGAAAATGTCGATCCCCGTGTCATTTCTTTTCGTGGAAAAGAAGTCGAAACGATGTCGTCTTCTCCACGCAAAGTAACCCCCAGAAAACCCTGCTGCCACGATCGTGTCTACTGCTGCTGGCTACCCTCCCCCCTCGTAGCTTCATTTGGCCACCCGTCACATGTTTTTTTGTTTTATTTTGAAGAGGCGGACGAGACGAGCGGCCTCGAGGTTCAGTCAGCCGGAGCTCCGCCCAGCCTCCACTGCGGCTAACTTAGCAGAGTTATGCGTCTGTAGATTAGGGACATTGGCGGCGCGATAGCGGGTGCGCCTCGCAGTAGTCTCCACGTCAGAGATTCAGATTGAGATCCGAGGGTCGCGCGTCGCTATGCCAAGTCGCGAGTAGAAGAGAAGAGAGGGCAGAGCCCAAAAAAAGAAAGATGATTTATAGAACTGTTATGTTGAAACAGGCCTCGTCATGGTTTGCTCGTTCGCACTCCCCTGACAGCGCGAGCCATGTCATTTGCTTCCTCCAGGCAGCGGCGGCCGGCCGGCCGCGGTCCGCGCAGTGCGACCGGTAGCGAAAGCAAACGCGCTCTCTGGCGGCTGTTTGTGAAAGGAACAGGCTGTATCAGCGGACATCGCGACTCACCATCATCTCGGGCCCGGGCCGGCGCGCAGCTCGGCGATGATCGGGGCGCTAATCGCCTCGTGGGGGGTCCTCCTGGAGAAGTCCTGGAGCGGTCCTGGAGCCGTCCTGTAGAAGACCTGGAGCGGTCCTGGAGCAGTCTTAGAGCGATCCTGGAGTAGTCCTGGAGCGATCCTGGAGCAGTCGTGAAGAAGTTCTAGAATACTGCTGGAGCGGTCCTGGAGCAGTCCTGAAGAAGTTCCAGAACACTGCTGGAGCGGTCCTGGATGAAACCAGGGGGTATCTACGAACACAAAAAGGACAACGAAACAAGAAATTGCTGATCACGATAACAGAAAACAAAAGGTGCGCTGAGTTTATCCCCTTCCTTTCCTGCCTTTTTTTTTCTAAAGCAGTCAAAGACTGTGAAAAGTGACATCCTTTCACGGCTTGACCTCCCCCCTTATGGAAGTGTGCACGCCGCAGCGGGGGACACACCTGCAGGGGCGCAGGGGGCGGGAGAGGAGGGGACAGGAAAAGAGAGAGAGGGGGGGGGGAGAAGGAGACAGAGAGAGTACGACACATAACACGTCCGCACCCATAGCCACGCCCCGCGTTCCTCATCAGACATGCGCGTGTCTTAACAATGACCCCCGCGCAGAGGTGGGGAGTGGAAGGGGTCGGTGAGGGGGGTAACTCGTCGCGCTTGCCTTCATTAAATCCCTACGCTACAACACCACAACAACAAACGGCGCGGGTCAAGCCGAGCCAAGCCCGCGGGAAAGTCATCCATCCGTCCGTCGTTGCTCCGCCAACGCCGCGCCACGCCCCGCCACGCCGCCGCCGCGTTTCCGAAAAGGCTTTTGCTTATTTTCCCGGCCACGCCGCGCCACGTTGCGCTCGCCACTCCACGCGTTTCCGAGAGACTTTTGCTTGTTTACCCCGCCGCCCAGGTGGTGGCAGCACCAGAGGGCAACGCCTCGCTACGCTACTACATGTTGTTGTAGTTCCCGCGCAGCCGCCGCCACCGTCCCTGCTGCTGCTGCTGCTACTGCTGCTGCTGGGTTACACAAGACAAGACGCGCGCGCTGTTCGGAAAACCCTCAGTGAGAGAGAGACACACACACACACACAGAAGGAGGGGGGGGGCGGAGCCGCGCGACAGAGTTCACGCGTGTACGTTCAATTTCCCAGCGCATACAAAGCGCCACCCATGTGCCCCGCCCCCGCCCCCTCCCCTCGCACGTACCGCTGGACAGACGCCGCCTCTCTCTCTCTCTCTCTCTCTCCTTTTCGCCATACACTCACCTCCATTTCCCTCACTCTTTGTCCCCCCCCCTCCCCCCATTCTCCCCTCCTCGCGAGCGCGCGTACTCTGAGTATGCAAATCAAATGCAATGGAAGCTCATGTCGCCTCAAGAAAGAAGGGGGAGGAGAAGGAGGAGGATGAGGACGAGGAGGGAAGAAGACTTCGCACAATGGTCTCGGCGGCGTACAACAGCAGCAGCAGCAGTGGAAAACCGTGGGAGAGAGGGGTTGTTTAGAGTGGAGAAGGGGGGGGGGGGCACGAGTGCGATCTGCATACGCAGTGCCGGAAGTGACACGCCTGCCTGCCGTGCGCGCTGCCCCGGCGGTGACTCGCGGCGGTGGCTCATTTTCGCTGTCCCTCCTCCTCCTCCTATACCTCTATACTAAAAGCAGCGGCAAACATATAAGGAGGGGTGTAAAAGTGAACCCGCGCTCTGCCCTGACTATTTATCATTATTGTGCAACGCTACACGCAATAACTGCGAAAATAACAATAAAATAAAAGAGGAGCGTAAGCGCGTGGCGCGCGTAAGGTAAGGGCAGCGGCCGCGGCACGGCAGCAATGCGGCGGACGGGCACGGGGCAGCAGCCCCTGAACTTTGCCTACTCTGAGAGTGAGAGAGAGACGACAGAAATGGAGAGGGGAGAGAGAGAGAGAGAAAGAGAAGAATGTCACCTTTGCAGCGGGACCCGCGTGCGGTCAGGATGACGTTAATAGAGCGCGCAACTCGCATACCGGACATACACTGCACGCGAGCGCACACACCTCTCTCTCTCTCTCTCTCTCTCTCTCTCACTCACACACACACACACACACACACACACACACACACACGCGCACTATTCGTGCTAAGCTCCCACGTCCATCAGCTGATGACAGTCCCCCAGTCCCCCCCATCCCCGGGGGCCCCTGCGAGGTAGGCAGGCGGCCGTCACGCGCGACGCCCGTGCCCGGCGGGCCGGCCCACCCCCACGGCGCTCGGCTCGGCCGCCCGTGGTGGAGTGGCTGGCGGTCGGGAGGCTTTAGGGCACGGCGCACGGGCCGCAGCCGCGGGGTGGTGGCGATATGACGCTGAGCTCCGAGAACAGAGAGAAAGAGATCAAGCCGAGTAAAGCCCCGAGTTCCTGGATGCGGATGCGGGTGGTGGGAACCGCGTGCGCAGCTCATACTGATGCGACGTAGTGCGG